CCAACAAGTGCTACTTTGGCTGAGTAGGCAATTCAGGAGTTAAGTCACTAAAGGACTCTGCTCGTCGTTTTGATCTTTTTGATATATGCAAATTGTTTTGAGAATATCTCTCCTTCTTCTTATATTTACAGACATCGAACGAAGCATATAATAGTTTTTTATCTACAACAAGGGTATACAATTATTATCCTCTCTTATCCTATTTCATTCAGTCGCTTTCACTTCGAAGTACCTACATCACTTTATTAAGGCCGTATCTTTACAATGTGAACACTTTGTAAAAATTTATGTATATACATACATACATATACTAAATTTTTTGTTCAAACTATAACAATGTTTAACTTTATTGCAACTTTATACTGCACTCTTAACAGCTGAGCAACATTAAAGCTAACAAAAGTGAAGGAAATGGTGAATAGTTTAACCAAACAACAACAAAACAACAAAACAAAAGCATATACAGCATCAATAGATTGTGTACTCTACGTGCTCTGCTGCCAAGTTGACGGCAGTTAACACACGTCAGTGCATGAAGGTCCTGCGAGAGAGCAAAAGCACTTGAACAGATGCAAACTGGTGGTGACGAAATGGCACAACTCAACATGGACTTTAGAAAAAACTAAATATCATGTATATACATTAGGATGGTCCTTAAATGTAGGAAGCAAATTTTTACATCAGATTTCCTAATCCCGAACCTCTATGTCAATACTACTATACAATGAAAAAAATATTTAATTTTTTGAGACCATTAAGGCATCTGGCCGCTGACCCCTTTGCGGCACGCCTTAACCGACTGCAATCGGGACCAAAATTTATATGTGATATCTTTGACTATGGTAGTATAGATTTTGGGTATTAGATGAAAAAAAAATAATATAAATTTTTAGGTTCTATAGAGCTGTCTGTACTTTGCCCACTGTGCGGCACGCCTTAACCGACTCCAGTCGGGACCAAAATTTATATGTATAGGACCACCCTAATATACATACATACACTCCCCGGCATTTGAATATCGCACCCTTTTAATCATTGGTATTTGCAGTTTTCCGATTGTTTATTAAATATTCAATAATTTTTTATCAAAACTGTATCATTCTACAATAAAAAAAGCGTGTAAATCCGATTTTAAAATTCCATACAAATTAAAAAAAACAACATGTCAACAAAAGGTTGTGCTATCCCAATGACCTGCAGTGAATGGGTTAATAATATTTTTTAGAAAAATTTCGGGTATGCAGTTTTTTAGCGCATACAATTTTAGTATATGTAGCAAAGTTGCATTTTTTTTAAAATTTGTATAAAAGTTTAAAATCGGATTTACACGTGGAATATGCTACAGTTTTATAAAAAATTAATGAGTATCAAACAAACCAAAGGATCAAAAGGGGTGCTATTCAAATGACTGGGAGTGTATTCACATACAGTTAGCGTCAAAAATATAAATACCCTGACGTTTTGGCGATTTTCTTTATTTATATTTTCTTAAACAATTTTGTTTATAAAACTATAGTTCATTCTCATTCATATAGAACTCAGGAAAATTCACGAAAACCCAAAAAAATATCATACAAATTTTAAAATTTTGAATTTGGTTTCTTAAAAAAAAAATTGGGTATGCAAGTTTCATGTCTCTAAAAATTACCGCTGATTTTTGATTCCTTTTTATGAGTGTTACCCATTTTCTTCTTCTATATAACGCATGAACAAAATCAATTTTTATATGAAAAGTTTAAAATTTTCATAACAATTTTTTGGTATTTCTTGAACTTTCCCGAGTTCTATATGAAATTGAAAAAAATTTATTCAGCTGGTTTTTATAAAAAATATATATATTTTTATAAAAAAAAATTTAATAAAAAAAAATAAGAAAAATTTGGCATGGAAAATATAAATAAAAATACTTCAGGGTATTCATATTTTTTATGCGGACTGTATATATCAAATATGCATGCTTTAGAAATAAAGAAGAGAGGCATACAATGTGCAACGCGTGTATGTTTTGAAAACAAACACGATGTAAAGGTGTGCGCATTTCCAGCGAAAAAGGAACCAACGATGTGCACAGGTGCAAAAAAGGTGAAAAGAGAAAAAAGACGAAGCGTATACGCACTGGTGATCCCATGCGATGCACTACGTCAAGCTTTACTGCATACATGAATATGCAATATATTTACATACATACAAATACACATACATATGTATGCAAGCAAGTACACTCATGGCTGGTATTTTTGCGCCGCATTTTGGTAATAGACTTCATGGCGTTCCGTTGAAGTGCGACTGTTGCTCTGGGTGCTAAAGAAAAGAACTATGCATGTATGCACATTAGACCGCGCCACCTTAGAAGCAAGCAAAAAAAGTTAGCCGTACACTCCTGAGTCGAAAATAGTTTTGCAAGACAATTCAGAATTTTTATTTTTTATTTTTACCGACCCTACCCTGTAGCAATTCGGACTCACCCTAGGTTAGCCCTTGGATATTCCCTCTTATAGTGGTTAGTTGTTCTTTATTATCTGGTTTTGGACTAGTCGGTTTACATATATTTGGATTTTTTCGTTTGAATACGATTTTATTCTGCACTTCACAAATAATTTTTCGTAATTAAGAAAAAAGGCGAAAACTTTATGCTCCGCCTAATGGCATAATGTGTATAAATTAACTAAATTCGACATTTCAAGCAGGTGGCAACCTCTTCAAATTACTACCTTCTGTGGTACATATTTCTCTTAGTTCAAATAGAGTTTGATTTTTTCAATAGGTGGCAACCCTCTCATACTTAAGCTAAGAAACCAAGCTTATCTAAACCATTTCGATGGATACTCATGTTGTAATAAATCATTCTAATAATCAAAATAAAAAAAATATATCTCACCTAATAACTGTTACGAAACAACTTTTTTCCAATAAAACTTATAACTGTTAAGTCCCTGGTTCTACTGCAATAACAAAAATATTTGCTTAGCAACAGTTTAATAATTTTTAGAGAAATTTAATTCACTAATAAATAAGACCCAAGAACAGGTGGGTAGGCACCAGAACGCGATTAATGAACTTTGAAACAAAAAAAATCTCCTCGAGACAAGAACATCGATATTTCTTATTTTCGGCCAAAAAAAAAAAAAATGTTTGTTCTGGTACGGTCTAATGTACATACATATGTATGTACCACCGTTACAGTACACTTATTCACACGGCGTCATCCTTGCGGAAATTGAGTGAGGGTGAAACAAAGTAAATCAACAAGAAAGCTGAGGAAAACGTATTTTTAGCAAAAAAATGGAAAAAAATTAAAGAGAGCGCCGCTAATGCCAGCGCAAACTTTGGCGCATGGAGGAAATTGGAAGCTGCAGCTTTAGTTTTTTGCTTTGCTGACAGAAGCTGCCGCAGCAGCAATCATTTCCCTTTGTTTTCCCAAAACAAGCCAAATAAAAGTATTTTCAAGAAATTCTCCCAAAACTTTTCCGCAATGAATTGTAGTAAATTTTAGCGCACCTGCTGCGTCTGAAATTGCTAGAAAAACGAAATTAAATCAGGCTGTACATAAGTAAGTCTATATACATATATGTAAGCATGTGAATATTAAATTGGCGCTCATATAGGAGCAACGTGGTATTTACATATATTTTCTAAGAAATTGCGTTCAAAGAACAAGTGCTAGTAGAAAATCGTGAACTTAAAGCATTAAAGTTAAGTTAGTTAAGTTGAAGAAAATACAAACATGTGCATTTAAAATTTATATATGTATGTATCATATGGAATTTCCAAGAAATTAACAGAACAACTGAAAGGCGAATAATGCCACGCTGCTGCTGAAATTAAGGATTCTTCAACAAGGTCACACTGCGATTGGGCGCTACGCGAAAACATACCTTCTGCCACTGTCCGTCTTCCAACTCTTTTGACACTGTGAATCAGCACTGGCCTAGCGCTAAGCTCATGCATTATTTTTATTTAAAAAGAAATATCCTTTTACAACTTTGATGAGTTATCGAAGGAACAGATTTCATTGAGCCAGCTTCTGGAGTACCATAGGGCCCAGTTCGTGGACCTTTTTTAGGATGTTGGTTCCGGGCGCTGAAGTCCACGCATGTGGGAAAAGTTTTTCATGGCCGTTCACTAGGCAGTGGCCAAAAATTACTATTTTGCATCCGGTTCACTGGACACTCATTCGAAAGCAAGCTAATGTGAGAAACCAGCAATGGGTTGTGCGTTGGGCTTGCGATCCGCCACTTAAAAACCACCAATGAAAGGAAAAATAAAGTCTCGGATAAGGCCCTCTTCTATGGCTTGTACTATTTTCAGCTGCATACGAATTACTGTAAACTGAAATGGCCGGCCTAATAAAGATTTATAGGCTTATTTATAAAAAATTCAGTGAGTTTAAAGAACTTTATGCACAAATTGGCTTTTTCATAAATTTTTCAATTTATAAATCTTTTTTGAAGCTACTTAAAAATGTAATTGAAGTAGAAAAAACAAAAAAAAATAGTGTGAGCTTCAATAGTTTTTTCGTTATATCCACTGCACTATTGCTAAGCTTGGAAAACTAAGAAATACATTTATGAAAATAACTTTTAAAGATATATGACTTGTAATAAGTAGGTCACTTACAAAATGCACGAAGCAAAATATTTACTATGCCAAGTCAACGCCAATGCACGGTTGATAAGCCATTTTTTATTATGAGCCCAGAAGCACGTAACAGACCTAAGCGCAGCTGAGGGCACCGCGAGATAAACGCTCCACGTGAGCCACAGCGAAATGCATTTCGCCAACGCCAATTGTATAATTGCCGGTATAGACATGTCGCTACTCAGAAGCCGATAAAATTAACAATTGAATGAATTAATAGTTTTCTTCAGTACATAAACATAAACAAAATTACCCTAGAATTTAGGTATAAAAAGTCTACAACAGCCGACAATACAGTACAACAGTTCAACGACTGAGTAAATCACTTCATTTACTTGACCCGCAACTTACTTCTGTGTAAAATGTTTTTAATACTTTTAATTGGAGCATTCATCGCCTCTTCCAATTCAGCTGTATACAATGCGGCATCTTCCAAGCATTCCTCTGCACATACGGCGTCACTGGCACCACGATATTTGCATTCACAAACTGCTCAAAATCCTTGGGAATTTTTAGTATCTGAACAACACAAGATTTTAGCTGCACAAGTATCTGCCCCGGAAGGATCCTATGCAGCTCCAGAACCAGCTCCATCATCCTACGCTGCCTCCCGCTCTGTCCATAAATCTCACCCAGCACCGGCACATGCACACTCTCCATCATCGTACGCTGGCTCCGACTCTGTCCGAGGATCTCATGCAGCTCCAGTACCAGCTCCATCATCCTACGCTGCCTCCCGCTCTGTCCATAAATCTAACGCAGCACCTGCACATGCACACTCTCCATCATCGTACGCTGGCTCCGACTCTGTCCGAGGATCTTATGTAGCTCCAGCACCAGCTCCATCCTCCTACGGTGGCTCCAGCTCTGCCCATAAATCTCACCCAGCACCGGCACATGCACACTCTCCATCATCGTACGCTGGCTCCGACTCTGTCCGAGGATCTTATGCAGCTCCAGTACCAGCTCCATCATCCTACGCTGGCTCCAACTCTGCCCATACATCTCACGCAGCACCTGCACATCCACACTCTTCATCATCGTACGCTGGCTCCGACTCTGTCCGAGGATCTTATGTAGCTCCAGCACCAGCTCCATCCTCCTACGGTGGCTCCAGCTCTGCCCATAAATCTCACCCAGCACCGGCACATGCACACTCTCCATCATCGTACGCTGGCTCCGACTCTGTCCGAGGATCTCATGCAGCTCCAGAACCAGCTCCATCATCCTACGCTGCCTCCCGCTCTGTCCATAAATCTCACCCAGCACTGGCACATGCACACTCTCCATCATCGTACGCTGGCTCCGACTCTGTCCGAGGATCTTATGCAGCTCCAGCACCATCTCCATCATCCTACGCTGGCTCCAGCTCTGCCCATAAATCTAACGCAGCACCTGAACATGCACACTCTCCATCATCGTACGCTGGCTCCGACTCTGTCCGAGGATCTTATGTAGCTCCAGCACCAGCTCCATCCTCCTACGCTGGCTCCAGCTCTGCCCATAAATCTCACGCACCACCTGCATATGCACACTCTCCATCATCGTACGCTGGCTCCGAATCTGCCCGAGGATCTTATGCAGCTCCAGCACCAGCTCCATCATCCTACGCTGGCTCCAACTCTGCCCATACATCTCACGCAGCACCTGCACATCCACACTCTTCAT